TGATTGACTAAAAAAAGTATAGCGAACTTAAGCAAGTGTCCACTTTGTAGAGGTTATTTACTACAGAAGGACTGAAAGAAAGTGTCCACAGTCCAGAATAAGGAGGTGTCCACATTCAAGAGGTTCATTTCCAGCAAAAATAGCTCGGGCGGACCAGAAGGTGTCCATTATACGGAGGTGTCCACTTTAGAGAGGTGTCCACATAAGGAGGTTTCACTGTATTCATGTATTCCGACCGTGACCTTGTGACTATCTCATTCTTCTATCGCGTGACGTTTTGTTCTTTGTTCCTATTCACTCAGCCGTGCTCGCTCTTTCTGTTATAGAAGAAGATGTAAGCGAAGAAAGAGCACGGCAAAAGATGCGCAGATGATATAGTACACCATCATGCTGACTGGCATAGACGCACAGTCTCTCAGTTCGTCAGTGTCATGATAATTTTCCACACTGTATCAAACACAATGAGCGCCTACATACTTCCCTTATATTCTATGATTTGCTGTTTCTGAGGCCTAAAAAATTCTTATTGATTCTCAAAAATAGTTTCCTGGCCTGAATTAAATAGTGGGCAAAGACGGCCGGTGATATTCACTATCAGAACCATTTATCCCTAATTAGGGGACTATGGGCTTCATGTTAATTTGAAGGCAGATTTTTTTGCAGTCTCTTGTCGTTGCAATTTCGTAATACTTTGCGATTACTAATGACCCTAGAAGAATGACTTCAGGTCTAAATCGAATAGTGGAGAACGAAGGTGAATAAGATTCATTCTGTGTTTCTATTTTGTCTATTTATGGGACTAGAGACTTCATCGAATGAAGTTAAGGAAAAGTTGCACAGATCCAGCTGAACTTTTCAGGGATGACTACTGACATCCTGCCAAGTATTTGCTGAAAATCTCATGTAAATCTGCCTTTATTTTCTAATTGGGTCAAAATGTCCCTCGTCCTTTAAAAAAATGATTTCTTTTCTCAGAAAACTGCTTTTTAATCCACAAAATTGACACAAAAACTTCTAAAAACTAATGATAAATTCTAATTTCACGACCCTTAAAGCCTTTGATTCCATTGTTTTAGAGACTACCTTAAAAAACGAGAAGTTGAGCGAGTAACGAACGAGCATACGAACTAACATAATCAACTCATTCTGTGTATCATCCTTCGTTCGGTGGGATGTGAGTGAGGGTGTAGAATGGAAAGAGCAAGTACACACATACTCATATCGACATCCACATCCACACGCACCCACAATTCTACCTTTCGAAA